TTAGTTAGAGTGTAGTAACAAACCCCCAGGCAAGGGCACCGTTAGCCTGGGGAACGTTACTACTAATCTAACTTAATTCTCTTCACTGTCCCGATATCTATAATATTATCCCAACCCATCCCTAAGTGAAAGAATAAAAGCAGATCCAAAATTCCGAGATCCCGCTAAAATTTCTGAGGATGGGGGATCCTGGTTGCTATGTATGGGTCAGTATTCGCAGTGAAGAGAATTAAGTTAGATTAGTAGTAACGTTCCCCAGGCTAACGGTGCCCTTGCCTGGGGGTTTGTTTATTTTGTTGATGCGAAAACTAGCGCATTTTTGTGTATACAGTATAATAGATTATGTTGAGTATTTCCTCAGCTTTAATTTAAACGTAGATTTTTATAAAAAAGCAGTCGTGTTTCTGAAATATTTTACAGCTACAGTTCATTCTGTGCTGTTTTCAGATTCTTGACAATTTTTTCATGAAATATTTTCTGTGGTCTTCTGGCAGTTCTTCGCATGATGAGATTTTTTTTATCGTTTTGTTTTACATTCTTTCGAAATGTTTTTCGATAATTCGTATATTATGATTATGAACGTCTGACTTCATTGTGGAGATAATGCAGCTTTTTCTTTCATAATTTCACTTCATCGATTGTTAATGCATGCATTCATAAAAAAAATTATATTTCACGAGGTTTTAGGCCTGCGATTAGTTCATCGTTTCTTGAGGATTCCAACTGGCCTTGAAGGTCGTTCGCATTTTCTTCCCATTTCCGAGTACGAGAATAGTTTTTTCCTGGTTTACGACGTCGAAAATTTGAAATTTTTGACGAGGACAAAAGTACTGACTTTATGTGCGCGTTAAGTACTTTTTAATTTCTTCGTGAGTTATTGCTGAAAAATATGGCCCATTATTTGAGAATGCAGTGTTCCAGAGGAACAGTTTCGTCAAATATTCTGTGAAAGTTCAACGACTTATTTGTGAAAGGAACACGCGTTCAAATGGGGAAAAGTTGAATTTAAGTCTTGAAATCGCGTCAAAAATTGCAATAAAATCTGCCAGGCAAACATGACTTTTTCGTCGTGGTACAGCGATATCAAGATCTGAAAAGAGATCGTTGATTCATGCGGGATTTAAACATTGTTGCCTGCAACTTTTTCCAATGGCGATTAAAGAATGGCAAAAAGGAAGTTTTCTTTTTTATTTTCGTCTGAATGACCGACTGCTGAGTACTTATAATTTATAAGCAGTACCTTTCATTTTGCAAATATGTTCTGATTATAATTTTCTTGAATTAAGATTCTTCTCCAGTCCAGCAACCCCACTAGAACTTTCACAATGTTGTGGGAAAAAGTGCGGTAGCGTAAGCCACATTTAATGATCTGGGAAAGCCATTTTCTTCACCTTGAATTCAGTCTCATGAAAGGCACCTGCCTTCAGAAGTCGAAACAAACTGTTTCTCCTTGTTCATTATTTTAGTGCTTGGAAAATGATCGTTCACGACTAAATCATTCCACCAATAAGTAATGTTTAGATGTGTTTAATTTGTCAAGGGTACGTAGAACTGTTACGTTAAGGCTGCATGATGTTGGAAAAAACTTTGACAACCCAAAAATTTGGCGCCAGAAAAGTAAATCCTCTTTCTTAATCCCTCAAAAAATGTCCTAGCTTCTGTTGGAACCTGTGAACCAAACCCAAGTTTGGTTCCCAGGCCCTGCAATAGCATTTCTGAATAAGACATTATCCTTCCTACCTCTTTTGTCCTTCAACTCATCTTTTCCTGATTTTGAACTCTCTTCAATTAAAAGACACTTGCAATCAAGTTGCAAACCCAAGCGGATCTCCAAGCAGAGAAGCTGTTGTGTTGAACTTTTCGTGCAAAACTCTGAAACAGTGAACTCAGTTTGTGTCGAAATTCTTCCTTTGAAATATATCACTTTAAACTAGGACAAAAGTTGTCCTGGCTGCAGCCCAGCTGCTTGAAAGTGTTTTCACTCTTATTCTCAAATTTCTAAGCATCAAGTCTTGTTCAGCAAGCTCTGCCTAGTTCAAAGCATCTTCTTCTAAGCATCAAGTTGTTTCAAAACAATTCTTTTAATCTCCAGTTTAAATCGTCCATTTTCCTCTTTTTGAGACTAACTAGCACATTCTTTTTATCACACATGATTCTACAAATTGAATCACTATTTTCCTTCAGTTTTGTCTCGGCAATTGGAGTACGGAAAGTGTTTTGTAAATCTTTTAGCAATCCCTAAATAACGTTTGAAATTTTCGATATAATTCCTGCAACATGTATTTCTGCCGAATAATTCTGCAAGGGATGAGATTTCCCATGAAGTGGCTCTACACAGCCAGCTTTTCGCTTGTTTCAATTATTTCGATGACCCGTGCTGATCTTGAAAATGCAAATAGAATCTCGAATTTGAAATTATTCGAAAGAGAAGGCGACGAAATATAATTCTTCTATCGCTCGCTCAAAACCATTCAGGACTCAGGAGAAATTCACGATGTGATCTTATAATTGAAAACCTTTTTTCCAAATATTATAAGAAAGTATGCATGTTAAATTTTGGAAAACGAAAAGAAAACACTGAAATATCGAAACTAGTAGTAAAACTTGAAAGTTTTTGCTGTCGCCGCGGCTGGGTTTTATGTTTGAGCGAGAAACCGCGTCCGTCACGCCTGTGTGCACTCTCGTCCACTCATCATCGCCGCGTGTTTCATAATTGGTTCGGGTCAAACGCGATAGGAAAAGTAAGGAAACTAAAAGAAATGCACAAAAGTAAGAGTGAAATGCGGATTTTCCCTGTCGTTGAAAGTGGACCTGAGGTAAACACGCTGTTCGACATTTTCCCGGGAATTTCCCCGCGATCGAGCGATTGATCCAGCCTTGTTTTTTTTTTTATTCCACTCGTATGATCATTTGTGAAATCTTTATTGAAATTTGGATTTTTAAAGAAACTGAGAAAGAAGATTCATCATTTTCGAGGTTGCCACTGCTCAACTAGTTTAGATTTAGTTTTACCAAGCATTTTTTATTCCCATTTTCTTTTAAATTTTCAAAGCGATCTACAGCTATAAGCAGTTGGTGAAGTCTGGAAATGCGATGGAAAAATGTTTTTGGTCTTCTAAAATATTAATTGCCTTTTTGTCCATATTAAGCGTGGACCATTGCTGATTTTGATTTGCTGAAGTTTCTCCTCTTCGGCAGATCTTCATGAGTTAATGTCAGATTATATCCAGTGCTTTCATTTCTCCGACTTTCTCATTTTTTTAAACGTTCTATGTGCGTGTAAATTTGTGTCGCGTCGTGTGAATGCTCATTTTTCGACAACGACTTGACGCTTGATATTTTTTTTCGGATTGTTTATACAGGTTTTATTTTATTATATTGTTACTGTTGTTGCGAGTGAGGTTGAGTTGTGAAATTGACAAGATTGTTGAGGAGACTAGATTCTGTCGAAGTCTCCCGGGAACATGACAACGACGATGTTGACGACGCTGCTGGTGGCGGCGCTGTGCTGCGCTGGCGTCCTTGCCCTGGAGAACGGACTCGCCCGCACGCCGCCCATGGGCTGGCTGGCCTGGGAACGATTCCGATGCAACACGGACTGCGTCAATGACCCCGAACACTGCATCAGTGAGCACTTGTTCAAGACCATGGCGGACTTGGTTGTGTCTGAGGGCTACCGCAACGTGGGCTACGAGTACATCAACATTGACGACTGCTGGCTGGCCCGGGAACGGGATCGGCGTGGCAGGCTGCAACCCGACCCTATTCGATTCCCCAGTGGCATCAAGGCCCTTGCGGATTACGTGAGTTATTATTGTTTTGTTTTTTTCCTCTGGTTTTTTTTTTTTTATTTAACCGTTTCCGAGGAAATTATACGGGGAGCCATGGGTACCCGGTAAACGACGCAGGTTGAAAACGACGCAAGAAGGGCTTAAGCCTTTGAAATCCTCTCTGGCGCCGTTCTGAGGTTGCAGTCAGCGGTCAGTCTTGCCAACAATATTTCAGAAAATTAACTGCACTCCAGGTGCCTCGAAAATCCAATGAATTTCCCAGGCTTGCTGTGGGAGAAGTCCTAGGTGCTCCAAAACACTTGAAACAATTTATTTAATCTGTAATCTTCTAATCCCTCTTGTTTGGAGCATTTATTGGGTGGTCTCTGCATTTCTCTTTAACAATTTAAGGAAACTTTCTACACTTCCAAATATTTCCTATATAACCTGCATATTTTCCTCCTGANGGTCCATTGCGTTTATTTTTATTAAAAAGAGAATCGATCAAGGCGTTTATTTTTTTTTTATATCCAGCGAGAGTGATAAACCAGACTCGTTTATAGGGTAGTCCATATTTCCTTGAAAAAAGAATTTTTTTTTTAATCCCATGGTGCTTAAAAATGAAGAAACTTCGCAAGTAACGTTTTTGAGCGCGGTTATTTTTACTGCCGTTTATACTCGAGTAAATGTGGGATACAGTATACAGTATGCAACACTATATAAAAGATGACTGCAACAAAGATTTCCGTGACAGGCTGCGTGACTCATTTTTAATCCACGATGTCAAAAGAAAATCTGGAAGATTGTTGGCTAATGAGAAATTATTGCGCTCGTGATATCTGGGAGGAAAACGTGTGGGGTACTCTTCCGTGACGTTGTACAAAATTTACCAACGAAAGGCAACACTTTGTATACCAGCATCTTTGAAATGTCGTTCAAGAATGTCGTTTCCTGGTTATTGACGCTATTTTTATCCCAATTCCATTTGAAAACGGAACCATTTTTCAGCGCGAACGGCTGCTGTACGAAATGTTTGTATATTTTTAAAGGTATTTTAGAATACTGTACGGGGAATTGAGGTTTGATTTGGCGAAATATTTTACCCGTTAAGAAAGCTTTTTTCAGTAATTTCGCGGTTGTATCTTTTATTGTGTGCGTGAAGGCCATTTTTATTAATGATTATTTCAGAAAATTGTACTTACGAAAGTGAGTAACATTTTTCTTCGACGAATCCCTATTGATATTTCTCGGATTTATTTGAAAGAGATTGTTGTGTGATAATTTGTCGAGATATTTCAAAGCAATGGAGGAACTATTTTGAAAGAACCTGATCTCATTTTATATTTTATCTTTATAAGGTTTTTTGAAGCCATGTCCATTCCTCATTTTTTCAGAAACCGTTGCTTTTGATTGTGAAATGTATTTTATGGAATAATCCGTCGTTTTTTATGCACAGTCGACGGGTACTTTACTTCACTCTGTATAAATCTTTTTGTTTGATTTTATTTTCCAATTCATGTTAATTTTGATCCGCAGTCGAAGACAGCGCATTTGGATACAGTACAGTATAACCTTTTTTCGGATATTCATGGATTCCCGTAAGATGATTTCGAAAAAATTGAAGTTTGATTATACAGTGTTTCAAAATTGCTTTGCATCGGAGAACCTTTTTGAAAATCATGTGTTCATTTAGTGGTTATTTTTTCATGATGGTCGTTGTGGCCGCGTTTATTCAGATTTTTACCGAAAACTCTTACTTCGGAGAGAAAATTTTTATATTGTACTTAACCTTCCATCTTTTTTTTCAGATACATTCGAAGGGACTCAAGTTCGGTATCTATGAGGACTACGGAAATTTCACGTGTGCTGGTTACCCTGGAATTTTGGGCCATTTGGAAACCGATGCCCAGACATTCGCCGAATGGGACGTCGACTACATAAAACTCGATGGGTGTTATTCTCATCCGAAGGACATGGATCGAGGTACTGTTACATGACCAATTTTACACACTAAAGTATTTCGCCTCGGAATTCAAATTTAAAAATTATTTACCTTTATATAGTAGCAAAAAATGAATCTTACTATTGAGAATTTTTGAAGCAATTTCAAAGGAGTTTTGAATCTCATTTGACGAGATACCGTAGTTCGGCGCGTCATTTAGAATGAACGTTTTTTTATATTAATTTGTATGCATCGATCGATTTGTACGCAAATTGCATAAGCTATGCTGATCTTAAGGCGTTTCAGCATGTTTGGAAATAGTTCATCTTTATCTAATGATGACTTTTCCACAAAAAAAAATCGTGGCCTATCAGGTTACACGGATTTTGGCAGATTTCTTCGTCTCACTGGTCGCCCTATGGTTTACTCGTGCTCCTGGCCAGTTTATCAAATTTACGCCAAATTGACGGTAAATTGCTGACTGAAAATCAAACCCTACCCATGGTGTAAACACTTCCCTTGGTTTCGGAATGTACACAACACCAAAGCATGTCTAACATACTTTTTTTTTTTTTTACTTACAACTGATCGAGAACGAGTCAATTTTTTTTCTGACCCGGGAAGCCGTACATAAATCGTATTGAAACGGGAAAATGGCGGAAATTTTGGTTAATTCAACTGTGATCGGTGGAGCGAAATGTCGAGAATTTTTCCGTCAGACGACGGCACATTTTCCTCCTAAAAATTACTTTTTGATTATCGTGAAAGTCGCAATGTGAAATCCCGAAGTATTTCGCAGGAGGTTTGGAGTTTTTTTTTTAACTCGCCCGACCTTTTGCTTGCGTCTGAAATAGTTTTCAGCTTATTATAAAATGTGGGCCAACCGAAGACATTTTATATTTGTGCAATCAATTGGTTCGTTTGAGGTTTTTGTTCGCAATTTTGGGGAACTCTCTGCAGTCTGAAATCAACCAGGTCGTATGAAAAAAAAAAAGGCTTTTCAAAAAGGCTTGTTTTTTCATTCTAAATAAGTTATTAGTGGAGCCAGATTTATAATACTTTGGTTCGGGAACGTTCACGGATTTCCCATTTTTTTGGCGGAGTCTCATGTTTAATGGGCATTACTTTTCCCGTTATCAACACACGTACCAAATTGTTGAATATATTTGAGTGCTGTATAGGCCTTATTTATTCAAGGCTGCTGAAAAATTCGGTTACGGCCTAGGTTTATAATCCGTGGCGGGGAAATTATTTGACTATTTTTTTTCTAGAAGGACTTGATTAAATTCCATTGAAGTATTTTGGAGGCAGGTGTCTTCGTGTGCGATTTTCATTTGGCACGATTATCGTTTTTCATATTCTTCAGACTTAATATCCTTTCTTCCACAAGATCTCAATGATTGGCCGCATCGTAGAGTCTTTTCGGTCTATCATCAAACATAGCAAATAATTCGTAGGCCACATTTGACTTTTCGAACAGTTTGGTTCGGAGTGCGGCCTATATACCGTAAAATTTAGTTCTAGAAGGTGTGTCCTATATTGGAGAGAAAAAGGAGTAATGGATAAAATATGGGCAAAAAAGGTAGATAAACATCCTGTCAAAAGAAAAGCACACAGACCATGTCCCGTGTCTCGATTATTTTTCAGTTGTTATTTCAGTGTTCTTTGAACTATTGGTGAAGCGCATGAAATCTTTCCATGATTATAGTTGTACAGTACTCGCATTGTATTTCAGGATGAAACTTGAATTGCTTTTGAAGTACTGTACAGTAGATTGCCCAAATGAGTGTTTTTCTCTGCATTTTCCGTGCAAATTTTCCATCAAGTTTTGAAGTTCATGCAGTTATTTTTCTCGAATGGCTGCCCAAAAATCAGGGTGCGGCCTTCTGCCGCGTAATAACTGCATTTCACTGCTGACTTACGGTAAACGTTTTGCTGTTTAAAAAAAAATTAGCTTTTCGCGTATACTTGTTGAATAAATTTTTCTGGATGAAGTACCGCAAGCATTCGATTTTCTGGAGAAAATGATGGGAGTTTTCAAGTCTGTTGTGTAAATGTTATATTGTTCTTCGAATCTTCCAGCAGCATTTCATATCGAAGCAAAAGTTGATTCGACTCACTCCTTTCTTTTTTTTCGTCGTGAATCGATTCCTGGTTCAAATAAAATTGAATACTTCGTTTTTGTTTCATCAGTTTCTACTGAAGCACTGACGACTGAGGTACAGCTAGTACAGTATTGAAAAAGTTTTCATGGAACGGATTTATTTTCTGTTTTGCATTATCTCCATGACGTCCACTCAAATTCACGTGATTTTAAATTCCACACGAGTCATTTCTCACAATATGTCATTGAATCAATCATCGCCTGCAAACAGATTCGATTTCGCAAGCGCCCCCGTGGCCGAGTCGAAGGTCGATTATCTACGTATTTTCCCCAAAATTAGATGCTCGGTCAGAATTCAGAGTTGAATTTGGAAGAAAAATAGTCCCGGAACTCATGAATTATCCGTAAAGAAAATAAACCCGAACAACTCAATCACGAAGTCATGGTCACGAGTACACGCCTTTCGAAAGATCAAGAGGTGACAGAAGGGAGGAAAAAGTCGCTGATCGTTTCCGGGTCCCGTTGATTGCCTCATGTTTGTCAGCGGTTTATTGCAGTCCTTAATCTCTACAGGGTGGTCTAGAAAAAATTATGTTCCGAAAGTTAACCTCAGTGGTTCAAGGCTATGACATTGAGAATTAAAAAAAAAAACTTCTAATTGAAGCCACGTTCGATTACTTTTACGTTTATGTCCCAATTTCTCATATTTGAATTACATTCGTATTATTAGCTCCCCAATTTTAATAAATTATGTAATTCATTCGAAAATCTTTCTGGACACATGTAATCGATGACGATTATTTTTTGAAATTTAGCAGGGTCAATGCTCAGAATGTTATTTCAGGCTTACCCAATTTTTTTGTTTTCATATTTCGTGACTTGGCAAAATTTTAGGGGAAAATTGGGATTCGGTTGGAAGTGAAACACAATCGCCGTTTTCCGCAACCTTGGTAAAAAAAATTTTAATTAAAGGCTCATGTGTGACTACATTCATCGAGCGATTAATTTCGGAAACATCAATGAAAACATCGAATATCTTGAAGGACTTCACTTTTACCAAGGATGCGTGAAACTGCGACAGAAAAGCTGAATTTTACCGCCTCTGTAATCTCCATGTCTTTATTAAAAAGTAGAAAATTTATTCGAAATTTTCAAGTGGCTGACTCTTTACAATTTTATTACTTCGAACATCGTAGCAGACGTTATGCATATTTTATTTAACTGACCGTGGTGGTCACGTGAGTACGCTTCGAATACGAAATTGGACATCATGCAAATTAGGTCTGATGGCTTTATATTCGACTTTTTTTTTAATACGGTACTTCAGCATAAATATTTGTATATTTTTCTGGTCCACTTAATATATTATCCTGGGTCATACACATGCAGACTGAAGGTCAAGTTCTGAATTGAAAGCTAGAATGTAAAATTTATTTTTCATGTCGGGAAGCTGGGAGTTCGCAGGCTGATAAGAATCAAAAGTCGTGCAATGAGAGTATAATATTTATTTCCTTGGGAGGTACGATGGAAATCAAGTCGGTCACGTGGGGAACTTTTTCACTGATTAAGGTCGAGATTGTGTCACGACCCAATCATGTTCTCAGATCAATGTCATGGCGTATGATGGAGGAAAAAGGTTTATTTCCTTTCAACAGGAATTTTTAAGCTCTCGTGAAACTAGGTCAGATCTAATTTCCTTCAAATTGAAACCCGTACTCCGAGACTGAAAAATGCAGAAAAAATGATATCTATTAAAAGCATGCAAAATTTTATCTTACGTAGTGACCGCTGTTGAATGGAAGGTTTTAGCTAATTCTTCCTCCCTCGAATCTTGTCAAGTATGTAAAAAATTTTTAAATAATTAAGGACCGGAGGCTCCTTGAAACGATTAGAATTTCTGTGGAATTTGTTTTTTATTAGGAAAAACTGCGCATTGAAGGAAATCTGTGGAATTATTTCGAAGCCGATACATACACCCATTGGAGGCGTGTGCAATTTTTCATTTCATTATTTCATCATCCTTCTTTTGACTCATCAGAAAATGTTGATGTCATTACTCGAAGATTTTTATCTTGAATATTTATAAAATATACAAGTTCTGCCAGGAGGGATTCTTAATGCCATCACGTCAAAATCTGTCCCTGAAATATCACAACTTCACGGTTGGAAAACCTGACCAATCTTTTGTTCATTCCGCATTTTATGCATTGACAAATTCAAAACGTGTCCTGGTGACGTTTCTGACGTACACGCCGATGATTACAAACTTGTTTTTTTGGGGGGGGGGGGGAGAGATTGAAAACTTGTTTATTTTGGGGGGAATAACTGTACTCGCATCGAATCAGAACTAGCTAAAAACGATTATAGCTATAGCAGCATGGCACGAAGATGAAGTAACGAGCGTATTTATAGAAGGAAGATTAACGAGCAAAATACTGGACAGCGAAGCTCGATATTTTTCGCACGTCCTGATGCATTACCCAGGAATGAGAACATGCTGGTTTTGTTGTTGTTGTTTTATAGCCTAGTGGTTCTTTTCGTTGATCAAGGGCGTCAAACGTTTTTTTTATGCTTGCTTTTCTCTCTTCACTCTGCCTCTGTGTCAATATTTTTTTCTCTCTTTCTATCCTCGGTCTTTGTGCACTTTTTGGTGATCAGGCTATCCGGAATTTGGATACTTCTTGAACATAACTGGGAGACCAATGCTGTACTCGTGCTCGTGGCCGTACTACCAACTGGTCTCTGGAATGCAGGTAAAAGGAATGGGTTTTCTTTTTTTAAGCCCCTATCAAAGAGAAAAATCTCACGAAGCAGTCACATCTTAATTATTCGTGTGTCCAAATTTTTGGGTGGCTGGATGAAACAGCTCGTTCAAAAATAGCGCATACGGAAAGCAGGAAATCGAGCGAAAAATAAGTCATGTTTTAAGTTGTTTCTGACGATTCTGGAAGAAATTATGCATTTTTAGCTTAGAATTGAGTCATCAAATCGTCTTTTATGCTTTCCTGAAAAACTTATGCATCTATCTTCCGGGATACGTAATGACTAGAATCGCCGAAGTGATCACGATTTTCGCCAATCCATATTCTCTTGTTTATTTAATTCTTTTGTTGTTGGGCAAATCTGTGCTTTTTGTTGCTTTTTCACGTGAACCGGAAAGATTAAAATAATAATGTTACTTGACAGTTTCCAGGATATCAAATACAAAATGGCACAAGTGCAAACTTAATTTTTCAGGTTTCTCAAGTGATTTAGGTACATGCTTTATTGGAGTCATTTTGAACGAATTTCTGGGCAATTAAGGTAAAGTACTGTACCTTCGTGAATAATGTGAATACAATTTGTAGCAGCTTCATCAACCATAATTTTCTTAATGCGCCGCTGATGTAGTTTCGTAGTTTTAGATTTGCGCAATTTTTCGTTTTTTTCTGTCGCGCTGTTCTGGTATGCGTTGTTTTTGAGCGCGCTCAACTGTTTCGGCGACTATTTCACGATGCAACGCTTCACGGTGGAATGGTGCGGGATTTGGGATAATGCTGTGGGGAAATTTTTAGAAAGTTTTCATAACTGGTTGTCGTTTGATTCTTATGAAACACCTCGGGTTGGTTCCTTTCAGTTTGCGTACGCGCCATTTAAAGAAAGGTGCGATCCATTGCTTCGATATTGCCGCAATATCTGGGCGAGATTCAGTTCCCGAACCCGTCTTGAAGGATGGGGGGGTTTTTTATTCGGCTTACATAAAAAGTTGCTCAATCAAATCGTTTTTACATATTGACGAGTTTTACGTCGGCATTCGTGAGGCATGTATGCCGTCATGCGTGTGTACCACGTTTTTTTTTCTTCGAAGGCTAAAATAATGGATGCATGAAGTAGATTTCATTTATTTGTAAATTTTTAATGCTTGAGCGGTGATCTCGTGTCGTTGGATCGCAAACTTTTTTCGGTTTTTTTTTTTTACGTTTTATATTTGCCTTCAGGAGTCGTTAATTTTTCTTATGGTGAATTACAGGTGAACTATACGCTGATTTCTGAACATTGTAATCTGTGGAGGAATTTCGATGACATTCAAGACTCTTGGGATTCAGTGACTCGGACAATTGATTATTACGGAGACAACCAAGACAGGATTGTACCACATGCTGGACCTGGACACTGGAACGATCCTGACATGGTAGTAAACCGTTCACTTAGGTTTTTATTTATCTGAAAATTCTCTATTTTGCATTCTGAGCACGACAGCGAAAGAAAATATTATATTCTTGGTTTTGGTTGTCTTGAAGATCATCTGTTGAAGGACCTGCCATGATCTAAATAGGTTACGATACAATACTGTACTTTTATTTTTACCCTAATATTCTGGAGTTTGAAACAAATATTTAAAACAGTATAACTGAAGACAAATCTAAATACAGTAGGGTACAATACTTTAATTTTTTGAATGTATCGAGAAAATGCATACCACTTGACGGGTGCAAATGAATTGATTTATGTAGAGGGGAAAACAAATCATAATGCTTGATGATATCTCGAGGCAAGTGAATTATTTGTAATGGTCTCCGGGAAGGATTTCACCTTCTGTATTACAGAAGTGTATTTTTCTTACATCATCAAGACAATAATCACTGTTTTACATGTTACAGTATATACGTTAGAAGAAAAACTATCGTGTTTTTGAGACAAGATTTTATTTTTGCTGGTTTTTATTTCTGACCTCATATTAATAAGAATATCTGCAGAATTTACTATTTGAATGCCTTGTTCATTATGTGATGCATGTTATTTTATTTTTCAGCTCATTATCGGCAATTTCGGACTGAGCTACGAACAGTGCAGAGTACAAATGGGGATGTGGGCTATCATGGCTGCTCCTCTGTTGATGTCGGTGGACCTGAGAACCATCAAACCGGATTACAAGGCCATCTTGCAGAACCGGGATGTGATCGCTGTTGACCAGGATCCTCTGGGGATCCAGGGCAAACGAATCTTCAAGGTTGTCTTCTTGTCTGAGATCGTTTTAGAACGTCATCCACGATTCAGTGCCGTCTCATCTAAATTGGTTGCCGATCATAACAACGTGGATTTATAAATAGATAACTAAGAGTCAAGGAATCAGTAACTCGTATAATTCTGAGGCATTCGGAGTTTTAATTTGTTTACGAGTATCAATCGATTTTAATGCGAGTTAAAAATACGATGAAAAAAAAACCGTAATCGATGATTATCTTTGATAAGTGTCAAATAATTATGCTGTGCCACTTGTGCGGCTCAGAAGACTCCGACTACTGTCGTTATCATCGTCCTTTAAAATAAATCTGAGGCTAGAAAGTATTGAGGACCAATCCGACTAAAGGGATTTAATTTGCATAAAATTACATGTCAGTTAACGTTGAACAAAGATTGGCTTCAACCAGGATGTATCAAAGAAGCTGTCGACAATTTTTTGAAATTAGCATTGGGTAGTACTTGCAGTATTGTGTTACATTTTTTTTTTTAATTGTTAACACTATTATCTCCTTATTTTAGAATCAGATCATCTTATTTGAGACTTGATGTACGTGTTCCGCCTTCAGCATTTGAGCTTTTTAGTCCGCGTAATACTTTGATAATTACCGCTCTGGAATTTTGTACTGAAATACTGAACACTGAGATTTTGTAACTCAAAAGCTTGGTTCCAATCTCGCATGTCATGGGTCAAGTTTTATCGAATGCATCTAAAAAACCTTGTTTCTGTTTCTGACATTATTGAAACGTTTTAGCGTCTGTCTGTCACGGTTGACAAAAATCACTAAGACGCATTAAAAGATGTAAAATGAAAGTTTTTTATAGCGCATATGGCATTCGTCTCCATAACATCAACAGCAAAGGGATTTTTATGTAATAGATGTATACTGTATTGACATATCGTATTTGTTACGAAAGCGTTATCCATTGTTTTTTTCAATCGCTTATTTTTCTGAAACTCGCAATTATGACCTTAGGTCAAATGTCGTAGGTGTGCTTTCTGAATCCTCTCCTTTGCGAAACAAACTTTTTGGAACGTTCCATTTTTCTCCCATATTAGGGATATTTGTAAATCCTCTCATAAAGATTCGGCTGCCTTTACGTGTTTCCCTTAGACGCTTCTATTCAGTTCTCGCATGAGAAGTGAAGTGATTATCTCTATTTTTAATGGCTATGGATCATCCGCAGGATAAAGGCATCGAGATCTGGGCGCGTCCAGTGACTCCGATCCGATCGAACCGGTTCTCGTACGCAATTGCGTTCCTCAACCGACGCGTTGATGGAACCCCGACTGAAGTCTCCGTCACCTTGCAAGAAATGGGTCTTGACAACCCGGCGGGATACGCGATTCGGGTACGAACTTTGCATTTCACTGTTTCGAGATTGGAAATTAACCGGAACCTTTTTTGATACGCAATGCTGGTCCATGAATGACGTAGACATACCACAGTGATAAAATACGGGGACCAAGATTCATACATTTTCTTGTCAGCTCCTCGTTGCCTTTCCGTTAAATTTTTAATTTCACGGTTTGTTCTACAATTTCTAATTGACATATCTCTTGGTTGTTTGTTTTGTTAGCTTTAGACGATGTATACAACTGATCATTGTGTCAAAGAACAGATACTGTACGTATATGATCGAGGAGAAAGTGACTTCGGTATTTGCATAAATCAAAAAGGTCAATTTCTTGTGGGAGAAATGTCAGTTCTCTCTCTAATTAATTTGAACCTTAGCAGTTATTGTAACATGCAGCAAATTTCGAGAATAAATTACAAAAATACTTAAGCATGCTCTATATATATTAATAAATCCATCCAACAAGATGCGGCAATCTGTCTGATCAACCAGCATTATGCTAACTTATACTGTATCGTCAAAATTTGGATAAACAGTAATTTAGCAACGATATAGTTTTAACTTTCAATATGAAGGAAATTGAGGGAAGACGTTGGACATACATTAACTGTTTTCAGTATTTTTTAAAGTTCGTCAATACATAAATTGTGGCAGCCATTATCCTGGGTATATCTAAGGTACAGCACATTGCTTGGGACCCAGGACCGGTCATAACCCTTTAATAACTTAATGTTATAAAGTTTACCATCCGATGTGTTTGAGATAGATCCCTAAGTATTCCAGCTGATCCCTAGATCCCTAAGTATGACCTGAACTCCAGGGTTGTTAATCACTACTGGAAAATTTTTTACCCTACCACTACCCCTACTTACAACTTTTATCATTACCCCTACCACTACCCCTACTACAAATTTAAATTTTTGCACTACCACTACCACTACCCCTACTGCAAAATAAATTTTTGCACTACCACTACCACTACCTGCTCAAAAACTATGTTCACTACCACTACCACTATAATTTAAAAATGTATCACTACCACCACCACTACCACTACTGCTATAAAATGGTTTCTTGAAAAATATTTTTACCTTCAATTTAATAAAGGAATTTTGGAAGATTTCCACACCCCACTTCTTCAGCTTCAAATGTCCAGTTTAAACAATTGAAATTCCAAGCTTTTTACACCTCAGTTTTTTTCTGCAAGCTAAAGCAATGTCAAGATGAATAAATTTTTTTTGGAGATTCAATTGCTTTTCAACAAAGATTGAGACAGCTGAGCCTGATCTCTTTCATTAGTACAATTCATTAATATAATTTTTTCAGGAAATTGGGATTTTGGGATGATACATTTCATTGTACATGTTTTCAGGAATGAGGAAGAATTCTGTAAGAACCACATTTATATAAACACAGATTTCAAATATTCCAGAATGTGATGATTACAAAGACCATGCATTTAAACCATTGAATATGATGTCAGATTTAGTTGTATTATATTCTGAAAGGGGAGAATTCAAAATATGACAAAAAAATAAGCATTATTCCATTTGAAATGTGTATGGATCATCAATATAAAAATAAACAGGCACACTTTAAATGACTTCCTTTATGGAAATGTACAAGTTTTCTATATTGTTATAGCTTTAAAAATTGTTAGAACCCTGGGTCCTGGCCAGTATTGGGAAATTATTGAATTACAATATTTCAAATGGTAGGCTACACAAACTCTATCTAGGGATTCATAAGGTCGACTAGGGATCTAGGGATTCATACTGGACTTGAGTAATCGAAAAGTATCGTATTGCATGCGGTACTTCTGTAATTAAGCGAGTTTAATTTTTCTCGTTCCATATTTAGGACTTGTTCGAGCGCAGAGACCTCGGTGTTCTTACGCCTCCGCAACGGCTGAAAGTGGATGTGAATCCCAGTGGTGAGTATTGCTCCAGATGACAATTTCAATGATTTTTGTGTCGAAACTCTACACACAGCAGTACAATACTTCTGTCCGGAGTATTTCTGAAACATAAAGGTTATCGCCCGGATAATGAGTTCGCTTTCCTCATATTTTACGTTTTTACCAACGCCATGATGTTTTACACTAAGTTTTGCGTTTAAAGCGGACTCTTATCCTTGAAGCTAAAGCATCATCAGATTCAGTGTTGCATATTGAACTGAACTTGCCCGCAAAAAAAAAGTAGTACTGTAGTCTTGCTGCCGTTGGAATTCTCGACTGGCTTCCTTTTCGATTAGGAATACATTTTTGGCTCAACAAATTTTAGTTAATTATAGGGATTTTTCGATGAGGTTGACCGCCTTTGAACACCTCTCGAGAAAGGCTTATATTAAGCTTTGTGTGCTTTGAGCGACACCTAGGCAAGCCAAAAGAGAATCAAAAACTTAGATTCCTCGGAGTCATGAGAGATGACTATGCACTGAGATTCACGAAACTTTGAAATCGCCCCAATTTTATTCACAATCTCGTTATCAACCCAGCTCACTAGCTCAGTACTGTATTTTTCCTTCATTGCAAACTTGAAGTTCTTTCGTAAATTGCCCATTCTGAATGCCTCTAACTTTACGCATGGATGAATTCGAATTCTTAAGGTGTAGCCAATCGGTTCGTATAGTGCACCTCACATGTAATCGTCTACTACAGTACTACTGTAAATGCTCAGTTCTAGAAACTGTTCTTCGTAAAGATTCAAATCTGAGGGTCTTGACCTGTTTCAATGGAAGAGTTCTTTTCTTAAATCAATTTATTCGGCTTTCCCAAGAAATCAATTTTCTTGATCTTAAATTAGGCGTCAGTCCTTAAACTCTTAACCCGTTTTTATGAGCCCTACACATTATCTCAATGCAGTATTAACCCGATGTGTGTCAGTGAATCATTCATTATTTAGAGACCGCCATTAAGTCTTCGTTTATCATCATTGTTACCCAGAGAAGACGCGGAGCTCCAAGAAGCATTCCTGAAGAAAATAGCTCAAAACCTTTGCAATTGTTTATAACAGGAATCGTCTTGCTCCGATGTGAGCTGCAAGAGTCGAGAGGATTCTTCGGCAACAACCTGGACGGGAGTAGCAGAAGGGAAAACTTCTTTGCCGGCGAGCGGTTCCGCAAACAGTCTCCTGCTCTCGCATCTGGTTTCCCAGCGCCGAACTTCAAATAGGCATGGAAATCGTTCTTCAAGTGCCAGACGCGTTCCTCGTCCTGCCTTGTTGCGTCCATTATCGAACGCTGCTGACCCGCAGGGAACGTGATCTTTTTTTTTCCTCCCTTGGCTTCATTCAGCACGGGTGCTCTTATTGTTTCAGTGCGCACGAGTGAAATTTGTTTGGATGAGTTGGATCATAGGATCGGTGGTGTAACAAAATGTTTTATCTTTGCTTTGCCCGAGTTGAACTTCAGACATTCAAAACATTCCGAAATTTTACGGAAATTTTTGCTGGATCCAGTTTCGGGCATCACATTCCCACAAACCATAAGAGCAACAAGTTGATGAAATTCAATGAATATATGACAGAAGCTAAAGAGATGAATCTTCGTAGCTGTATGCAAGCGAAAAGCATGTCTCATCAGTATTGCAAGTAATTTCGGGAATGAAAATCTGTCCAAACTTCGCTTGTTGATAAATGGATTCTTGAATGAACGTCACTGAATCAATGCCGCGCGATGAATGTGTTGAATTGATGTTTCGTGTTGGTGTGTGACGGATGAAAGATGAAACGTTTTGCTACGAATAATTCCTGAAGTTATCATTTCTTTTCAGTGAAGCATATTATTTGAAATAGGCTGTTGAAACGTTTTGTTAGTACTGTCTCAAGAGGACCTTACTTGCAGCGATAACATGAAAAACTTCCGAAGAAGAAAATACAAAATATATGTACAGTTCAATTGGAAGCAAAACATGATCGAAAAATTTTGAACGTGCTCGCGTGGCAAGTGAACATGAATTCTACAATTACCTGCACATGTTTCACTCAACAGTTGATGTCATTTTTTCACCTTCGTGTTTTGACTCTACCGACGAATGCTGTCAGTAGAGCTTCGAAAAACCCTTCTTTCCAATAACCGGACAGCTGCAGGGATTTTCAACCGCAATTTTTAATGTCAAAGGAGGCAAAACGAACTGGCGTCAACCATTTCCGAAAAAATGTAAGAAATTCACCACGAAAATTCATTTAAAAAGTGGACTTCCAGTTATTACTGAAGTCGCGCGTCACCCAAAATACAGCTTCAATCGAAATATTTTTGTAAAGATACATATTCGATCACGAAGGAGAGGGAAACATTGGAGTTCGGAGAAAATTCCCGTCAGGTACTGGATTATCATTTCCACGCTACCAACGGCGTTATTCAACCGCAAGTTCAGATAGCATACGATTTGAAGAAAATGGTACTTGTTCAGAGAGAAACAAGATATACAGTACATCTTATAGGGAACATGTCCGCACAGTTGAGTACGACTTATAACAGCGCGCTCCGTAACGGCGCAAGTCCGCAGAATAAAATTTCATAAAAAAAAGAACAACTAAAGAAAAGCGCCAGAGAAGTATCAACCATCAGTGATTAAAAGGAAAATGTCAATTATGCCTGGAACATTACGCATAAAGCTATCTTGCTCAGAAAAACTTCCAAGGCGTCAAACGTTGCATCAGTGACAGTTGCACAAGCACTGTTCGATATTCGGCAGTTTTCTTTACGCGGTGTTCTAGGACGCATTCAACTGTTCGGTTACAAGTTTTGGGTTCCTAACGCACATCAATTCCGAGCCAGACAAGTGGGGACAAAGAAGAGCACACGGCTGCTTCGGCGCTGCGATCAAAAAACTCAGTGGAGATTCCATCCGCGTTAAAACATAACATACCACACTGAATAGCTTTACACACCAAGCAACAAAAGCACACTTTCATCTCACCTCCAAAGTCACCACGGATTTCGTACTTCTCGGCGTAGACGACGTCGTGAAGCTAACGTTTGACGGGTTCGTCGCAGAATGACGATCTAGAACAGCTATCGCAGCCGCCACAGCCGTTTTCGTGCTGGTCGACTTCTGGGAAGTCATCAACGACGACGACGTGAAGCTTGGGCTCGAATACGAAACGGAAATAGGCTTCATGTCCGGTTGGGCCGGAAGAAGCCTTTGGGGTGGCTTCGACGGGTTGTTGGGGGCCTTAGCATCACGCTTTTTCGCTTCTGCTGCTTCTCTGGCTGCCCTCTCGGCCTCTAAGCGCATTTGCCGAACAGATCCGGTGTGGAATCGTCCTCCTTCGCCTCGAATACGGTTCATCGCGTGCTTGTGTCGCGATTCGTGTAAATATTTCTGTAACGTAAAGAGAACTTCTCAAAATTTCTGATTTAAATTAGCTTCCTTTAATTCACCGCATAAATAGATCAAACAGTAGGAGAGAAAGAGGACTTTCGTGGAACTCAATTTTACCATAGGGTCGTCAGAAAGACGCAAGTCTTTCACCTCATTTTCCAAATTGGCCAGCCTTTCGTCTACTAACTGTACAGCAAAACAGTGGGATAAATCTAGTATAGTACCTGCATTTCTATCTTACATCCGTTTAGATTGGTGCACGCATTCGACGGGCAGGAGGGTTGAACATTAAAATTCTGAAGAAAACTCAACAGTTTCCTCCGATGAATATGGAATTTATACGACGGAATGAACCTTGATTCGTCTCAAACAGGTTTTTCTTCTGATCTGTTTTTTGAGATGCTGAATTGTAACTGACCCTTTCGAAAGTGAGGCATTTTGTCATATATTTTCATAGACGTTATCACAAGTTAAGCAGATGCATGTTTCTGGACGATACCGCACTGAATATGATTTGAAATGCAAGTTTTGTGGTAAATGAAAAAAAATAGGTACCCCATGATCCAGTGTCAATAGAAAACTTACTCGGCGTTCCTTTGGAATCTTCCCTTCAGCCTCCAATTTTGCTCGAGCTTGTCGACGTTTCAAGATACGATGATATTGCTTTGCGTTGACATACAAAGGCTCTTCTTCCACCGGTTCGGGAGTCGGCGGATTGACCATGGGAAGCCTTTGGAGTTGCGGTATTCCACCCATCATCTGCGCGAACAGAAAGAGACAGAGAAATCCAATCAACACTTTCTCACATGAAAATTTAGTTCCAACCTAAACATGGACATTAGCACGCCGGCCATCTTCACATCACCACACCACGAAAATACTCTCAGTTCGTATTTACCGCGCTGAAAGTCGCATCCTGATTTCGGAAAGCATTTCAGAAAATGAAAACGCCATGCATTTCAAGAATACAATGAATTGAGCTCAGGCTGTTAAGTCTTACAGACTTGCACATTCAGCTTACTTTACTTTTTTGTTTTGAAATGATATGCAGGTAGCAAACCTCACAATGGTACTTAAAATCTCAAGAAATGTTTCATCAATCATTTTCCATGCAAGTCGGCACATCATCTCAAAGGCTACATTCTTCAGGGAGGCTATTTCACGAATATCTTCAGGATAGCCCACACCAGCGTTTTCATTCCAGCTGTTTGGGAAAGTTCGGACTATCGACCAGGAACGCAACGACTGCAAAGGTGGTCATCCCGAAACGAAAAACGAAAATAATTTGAAGATCACTAACCACCACAACGTTGCCGGATGAATTAGGGGACACATTAGATCCGGGACTCGTTTGCTGGCCCTGACTCTGGGTGGGTGTTCCAAGAGTGAGCAAAGGAGCTCCACCTCCTCCAGGAATACCGGCAAGTTGAACCAACTGCCCACCAATACTGATCACTGTAAAAACACTGGGCATGAAACGCATTCAACGAGCGACAGAAAATAAACTTACTCTGAGGCTGTGCTTGTATCAACTGAGGAGGTTCAGCGGTCATGGTTTGATAAAAGACTGTTTGTCCATCTTGAGTTTGCACTGGTATCAACTGCGTGCCGGTATGGTGAGGCTGTTGAATGATGAATTGTTGTCCTCCTCCCTGAAAGAAGAACATGTCTTCAGCATTTTTCTCTTCTCGCAAATATTCAAACCACTATCCAAATAGATTGGGACGATGAACCCCATGCTCAGATTCTCTGAGCATGGATCCTGATTCCGCGCTCAAAAAGTACGACTATCCGAAGTGTATCAGAAGTAAATCTCACACACGTACGGGAACGAAGCGCAAAGCACAGACATACCAAATGTTGGCCTCAACTGAAACTGATTTACTCAGGTATAGCACGATTTCGGCAGTAGATTGACGCGTATCCTTTAAAACGATTAATGAATGTGTCTCCTGCAACGTACGTCGGTTGAATATATCCTCCGTAAATCATGAGAGATGAACATTCCTTTTCCCTTAACATTCCATAAGCGAAATCTTCAATTCTTTAAAACAAGAGATGAATCCACCACGACCTCACGCAACAATGAATCATGGTCCCTTTTTTACCGCCGCCATCCAAAGATCCCGCGAAAATATTAGAAGCCGAGTCCACAAAACGACGGAGAGGGAAAATAAATGGATGGTTACATTAACTAGTCTTGTCAAAACGGACCTGCATCGCTTGTAGAGGCAGCATTTGAACCTGCTGCATTTGTTGTGCAACCGCAGAATTCTGTGTTCCATTCTGCCCAGTTTGGGCACCGGTCTGCAGGGTTTGAAGAGTCAATATTTGTCCAGAAGCCGTTTGAAACACTTGTCCTCCCTGAGGCATCTGCATCACCTGAGCAGAACGACAACAATCAGAATCCACTAAAAATTCGACACCACCAATACAGAGGTGTTCTTTAATACAGTACTCGATTTCACGACAGAGTACATAAAACCTGAACCGCACAGCGTGAATATTGACGATTAAGAATACTGTAGATGTAAAATGTACATCAAAGTTGTTTATAAGCAAGGGAATCTCACCTGCGTGCCTTGGGACATCTTCGAGATCTACGCAATGTTCTTGCGTGTAGATGGCACCAGACTGTAAAATGGTCAAAAATGTTTTGTGAGCAAAATCAAGATATTCCTCAATGTCTTTCCAATCTTCCTAAAAAATCGAGCACTTACTTGGAAGCCCCACTTGAAGCACATGCCGATAGCTAACGGAATCACTGCCTGTCGAACATGCCTTGTGCTGACTTCGATACATATAGGCATCTTACAATTACAGTCTTTTAATCTAGCTTCGAACTGGACAGAAAAACGGTACGGTATTACGAAATTTCAACTACAGTATTAGAACAAAAAGTCATTCCCATCACTCCATGGCCAGAACACAGTACAGTGATCCGACGCCCCATGAGACTGAAATGATCAGCTAACAAAAGACATATGTGCGAATTTAGAATCCCTGCAAGAATTTTCAGAAATTATGCTGTAAGTAGATCCGATTCATTATCCTCATACAGAAGTGCAGTCTATATCACCAGAGAAATAAACCCGCTCGGACAATAGAATGTTCAGTTAAGGGGAATTTTTGCTTCACAAAGAATTCTCAAACTAAAGCACTGCACTTGATAATAAATCCTCCACTCAATGAATGCGTATTCCTATTCACGGGATGAATGAGTTCCGATGGTGCACAGAAGCTTCTCTGCGAAGTGCGCAAAAGCCCACGCAGAACACCTATGACATTTCTGGCACATGCAATCAAGGGGGCGTTCCTGACCAGCTACTTCAACACCCTATTTTAATTTCACCTCTCAACAGGGAGAGAGGAAATCACGCAACCTTGACACAGCACCACACAGAGATAAATAATGCCATCACTTACTTGCCTCTGGATACCAGGCAAAACGGTTTTTGCCAATGATTGGTCGGGATTTATTCACCAATGGATGCACACACGCTACAAGGTGAAGGCTCGTGGCGACAACTGCATTGGTGCAGTCAGGTCGGGCGCGGCTGTTTCCTGCTCCCCAATTTGCGGCGGACTATTGCTTGGAATCCGCCCGTGGCCCGTTCCAGTGGTCGACACTAAGGAAGAAAGCCAGTGAACGTTTCTCGCGGGCCCAGGACCAGTCCGGATAGGAGCACCATCAGTCAGGTCGATGCTATTCTCCCCCAGCCCTCGCTCACTTTCTACTTTGCCCCCTTCACTATGCAACGAGAATGGGGCCCCTATCCAAAAGGGAGGGGAACGAGAATGGGGCCCCTATCCAAAAGGGAGGGTAGACAAATCAAATCTGGGAGGGAACATTTTGCCCATTCTTACCGGACGCTTGCGTTTATCCTACATAGATGTCACTGCACCAAGTCGAATGCATCCAGTGGGTTCCCATGTATCCTGAAAAAGTCCAGAAATTCCTGTTCATGCATTGGAATTCATGTCATTCTTTGTGATATTAATTTCATTTTGTTCATTCTGAGTGGCAGTTCCTTTGGCAGCATTCATCCTGTCACCCTTTGACGTGTTTTTAATGTGATACCCACACTGTCTGATGATAGTTTTCAATTGTGTCGGTTTTTTTCATCCGCAGTGGCGAGTACAGTACAGTAGTCACATTTGGGAATTGGAAACATGCCACCTGACCAAGAAATTGGTAATGCCACTGTTATCTGGCTTGGAGGTTTTTGCAATTTTTTCCCCGCATGAATAATTTTGTTCCTGTCGCCAAACTAAATGTAGGAAGTATAGAGTGTACGATTACTAGTTGGATTCCACTCAAGTATCTTCTAGGCGTAATGTCATGTCCACAGAATGGTTACAGATGGACTGTCTACTCTACAAGGATCTTGTTTTTCCCCCTTGAATTTCTATGTAGAGAGTGCAGTTGATCATGAAAAAATTCGATCATGAATGACCGACTGGTCGTCATGACTCATGAATTGACGACCAGCCTTCGTTCAATTTCGTTTTTGATGTTTGAGGGTACTCCTTGATTCGGGCTGAAATTCAAGCGCAATTCGATGAGCTGAAATTTTTCTTAGTTTTCAAAGATTATTCAATCAGATTCACTGTATACTGAGATCTCAGGAGGAAAAATGCACAGTTTTTATACACAAAAAATATGGGGATGTGTAGAAAGGGGTGGTGGTGGTCCCCGCGCATTGGAGTTCAACAGCGAGTATTGATCGTCGTATTCCGCCCGGCCAACCTCACAAAGAAGAACGAGAATCGTGAGGATGCATTAGTGACACCTACATCCTTTACGGCAAACTCGAATAAAAGATGAGTACTCTCGCGTCTGGAGGTCAGCATAAACTCAAACAAAAAGCACAGCAAGTCAACGCACATAAGCTTTAATATCTTTCCCGCTCGAATTATAAACCACGCAACTGCTTGGCACGAAGTCGCTATATTGTGCTGAGTGTTACGCCATGTGCCACATTTACCCAGAACATGAAACAGAACGCACAGCTTCTATGAACCATGTCAAAAAATGAGCCAAAAAATTCTTCCAGCCTCCAACGTGATCAGCGCGCAAGGAACGAAGCACAAAAAATACAAAAATGTTCGCAGTGCTGTTACCGTAAGTGACTGACTGCCGAAAGTATAGCCAACCTTGAAAAATTAAATATGATACACTTTCTAGATCTGTGTTACCCAACCTTTTTGGGTCTGTGGACCAGCAAATTCCCAAAAATTGTCTGTGGACTGGCAAAGTTTCATAAAATATTCGCACGTTCAAAAAAGATTTGCTTGAAAGAATTTATGGCAGGCATTTAAAAGTTTATACTTTTTTGCCAAATTAAGGTAAGAACCTGTGAAGCAGCTATAGCCAAATGCCATGAAAACATTAGAAAGTTGGGCATTGGAAGGTTTCTCAGAGTGAAAAATTGAACTAATTTATTTCAGCAGGTAAATACTTGTCTGAAGTGTTATTCAGAGAAAAGCCAACTTACTTTTCATCAGATAATTTCAACTGCCATTGTCTTTCCAAAATTTTAGATAAAGATAACAGACTTCATTGCTACTTTTGATAAATTCCTTGGGCTGAAAGATTTCCCATAGACCAGCAAAAAACTTTTGAGGACCAGCACTGGTCCTTGGACCAGAGTTTGGGGAACACTGTTCTAAATAACCCTAAAAACTGAGGCAAACCTTACTTTACTAAAAATTATCAAGCATTACTTTATATACATGAAGTGAAACACAAGTTTGTTTGTAATGCATAAAATGCTGCTATATAACATGGTTTAAAAGTGAGCCAGGAAAAAGTAATGTGCCTCTTTGGCTTTGTGTCTTTGTGTTTCTAAACCACTACAGGTGCTCATTTTTTCAGTACTGTAATGTCATAATTACTCTTATCCCCCTTTATCTATTTCTACACTTCCTTCATCGATATTCAAAATTCACGTTATGTGGCTTTTTTGTTTTCCAAAGACAGTCAATGCTGTACTCCGGCGGTCAGTCACATAGTACAACAGTGCCAAATCCATTGTTTCGCGAATTTTCGCAAGTAAGGGCGGGGGAAAATAAAAAAAACGTAAACAATCAAAGACTAGCCCTGGGTCTGCTGGCGCAATGTGTGTTGTGCTCTGAGCGCTCGCAATTTGCCCAACTTCTCCTCTTTGCTGGCTTCGGCCGTCGCCTTTTCCACCATGCCGAAAAGGTACGAGCGTGTCGGCGAGTCCGCGCGACTGTTGAGTTCCGCGAATGTGGGTTCGGCGGGTTTCAGGCTGCGGCCGGACGCATCCCGGTACACGGGCCCGTCTTTGTCTGGGGGATGTTCCAGAACGAACCAGCGAGCTGTCCGACTCTTGTCAAAGTGGTACGTGTTGCAATCGGCGGAGCTGAAATCCCTGTCATGGAGAAAAAGAAAAGTGGGAAAGACGGCGCACATTAAAAACATATTTTGCAAGATATTTTGGTACAGTGAATGGGACCCCAAGATGCGGACGTAATTTACGCTTGGACCTTGTCCACACGTTGGGTCACGTTTTCCCATAGATTTCAATGCAAATAAATTTGATTGGTTCTCCCATTCAACAAAAATTAGAAAATATGTCCCCCAAAATTGAATAAAAATCGTTCCTTTCAACTTCAAGATACAGAAAACAACTTTTCAAAAGAAAAATACACATAATCTCATCTTTTAGAATCAAAAGGAGCTCAAAAAGCAAAGAACAAGAATAAGTCTTGCTATACTGTAATGGGCACAGATGATTGAAAAAAAAAACTCTGAAAAAAAGAAGTCCAAAATCAGCATGTTTTGCTTGTGAATTAGAGTAAATCCATCACAAAATGTATTCGTAATTTTAGTGCATTTAAATAGCACAATTAGTTCAAGAGATATCAAACTTAAAAAAATTAAAATTAATCAGCAAAGTATCCCTATCTCAAGACATTGTCCGGAAGCCAGGGCACCTTTTCTCGAGGTTCAAGGGTCCCTAAGTCAAATTGTCCGTATGTCGTCGTGTGCTCGCTGTACTGTGTGCAACCTTTTTTCTTGTCCCTATGACTTCATGGTAAAAATTTCATTTCTATTGTTTTTTTAAATTTCCTGATCCGTCATTTGACTGGTTGACACTCACAAAAAGAAGACTTGCTTCATAGAAGCGGGAGAAAAATAGAGAACAATTTCATCACTTTATTTTCCGGGAAGAAAACATGCTTGAGTCATATTGATGATAAATATTATTGAAGGAATAGCTTACGATGATGTGGATCCGACGCATTTCAGCGGATGCATGTACTTCATACAAGGTGTTCTGAGGACGTTCTCGAAAATGTCCTTGATTAGACCGGACACCCAGT